AGCGAGAGCTCTAACACTGGAGATGGTGCAGACAATAAGCAGTAGCAGTAGAGAAAAGGCAAGCAGCAGAACAAGGGGACCAGCCTAAGACAGCACAGTAGCCACTTCAGGGAACAAGAGAACTGAGTGCCTTCAGGCAAGAGGCTTCCTGGCCGAGCGGGGTGCTTCAGGGCACTTGTTGATAAAGCTAGGCTTACTGGCCCACAGAACTAGACAGCTGAGTGTCTTGAGGCTGAGGCTTACTGGTGAAGCAGGGTGCCTCTGGGTAATTCTCAGCAGAGCTAAAAAGCTTTATAACAGTTTCAATTGCCTAGGTGATCTCAAAGAATAGATAATTTTCAAGCCTTAGGAGCTAAATTGTTCTGCTGAGTTTTTTACTTGATTGGTGCCATTATCCCTTCTTTCACTCCAGTTTCTCCCATTTGTAATGGACATGCCCATTCCATTGTACTTTGGAAGCAGATACCTTGTATTCTAAATTCACATATGAAGAAAAATTTTGCTGCAGAACGGAATTTGGCCTTGCAATTAAGACTGGGGTGACTGTTTTGCATGTGGCAAGGACATGAATTTGGGGGAGGGCGAAGGGTGGAATGCCACTGACTGAATTGTTGTTGCTGAATGCCATCCGGTCGATTCCAACTCGTAGCAACTCTGTCTGACAGAGTAGAACTGTCCCACAGGGTTTCTAGGCTGTCACCTCTATAGGAGCAGATCATCATGTCTTTCTCCTATAGTGCCACTGAGTAGGTTCCAATCACCAAGTTTTTCAGCCGGTTGCCACACTAGAGCTCCTTATCCATCCAAGACAGACCCTTTTCCTTCTTCATCTCATTGTCTTTACCTTAAAAGCCATTTTTCGTTGTCCTACCTGTCAAAACACACCCATGTCCCAAGATTCAGTGGCCAGTGCATTTCCCAGGGTTGTTGTGGCCACAGCTCCCAGCCATACCCTGTCCTTCCCCAGAGGGGTAAGGACACCCTGGCCTGATCAGGCCACAGCCAAGCCCTAATGGGGCACATGTGCACACTGCACCACACCATGCCACCCCGCCCCCATCACCAAAAATATGTGCCAATTTGGATGGTCATGATTCTCAATGGTTTGGCAGTTATGTAATGATGTAATCACGGCCCATGATGTGATCAGCCAATCAGTTGTAAAGTCAATAGGATGAGATGAACATTCTTAGTCCTGATGCCATGTAAGGTCACTTTCTCTGGGGTGTGACCTGCATCACCTTGTCTTATAAAACGAGACAAAAGCAAGCAGAGAGTGGTTTCAGTACCACCAAGGAAGAAAAGCTGGGAGTGAAGCATGTCCTTTAGACTCAGGGTCCCTGTACTGAGAATCAACTAGACCCAGAGAAAGACTAATACCAAGGCACAGGGAGATTGCCAAGGAATGCTAAAAAACAAAACAAAAAAAACCAAACTCACTGCTGTTGAGTTGACTCGACTCATGTTTGGGTTTCCAAGGCAGTATCTCTCTACGGAAGGAGATTGCCCAATCTTCCAAGGAATGGCTGGTGGGTTTGAACTGCCAGCCCTCTGGTTAGCAGTCAAATGCTTTAGGCACTATGCCACCAGAGCTCCCCCAAGGAACACTTGTTGTTGTTGTTATGTGCCGTCGAGTCGGCCCCGACTCATAGCGACCCCTCCTTGGGTTTCCGAGGCAGTATCACTACGGAAGTAGGATTGCCC